ACAATCGGCTTTTATTTATTTGTAGAAAAATCACATTAAAAACCGTCACAAAGTAGTACAGTGTACTACCGGTAGTACGGGTAAATCCAATCCATTAAATGTAGGTCAACTTACCTATATGCCAAATTGTAAAATCTAGTACAATAATCGAGTTAGAAAAATTCTTAATGGGTTTTTTTTAAGTTATTTATTAAGTATTACCTGGAAAGGTTATATTTTCGATGGATTCAATAATGATATTTGGTTTTCTAGAATTAAAGAATTTATCTTGCAAGTATATATAATAGGCAATAATGGCGATTACAAATAACAATGTAACTGTATTCCTTAATATTTTAAGGCAATATGGATCCGCTGATCTATAAGAATGCATTTTCAATTTCTATGTACGTACGCACGTATCGAAAAGACACGTTGGTAAATATATTTTAAGTCCAGTTATTGAAATTTTATCTTCTGTATTCTTAGAGTCGTACAATGTCTGTATACTGTTTCACGTACGTACGTACGTACGACATTTATCAAAAATCACGTTTAGTTGTCGGAAATAGTGATGGGAAAATTAGCCTTTTTGCACATTTCAACGGTATGTAAATCACCAGTCAAAAAAATTTCGCTGCATCACGTGATAAATGATCATCAAATCAGATTTCACGAATTTGTATATAATGAAAATTAGAATACTATATAGTAATTTTTATTCGAAATTAAGTTCAAAGACGATTTTACATATTAAATCGAAGTCAAATAGTTGAATATAAATTATTGATTGGTTTTATCAAATTAATCAACAAGAAGGCTTTCTTACTTGAATCTTTTATTTTTTAATTTTATGATTTCGGTTTAACCGAATTATTATCTGCTTAAGATTAATCTCAATACATAAAGTAAGGAAACACAATATATAAGTCAACATAATTATTGCAAAAAAAAAAAATTGATTTTGAACAAAAACAATTGTTCAAATTTAATTCACATTCGAATTTTTAATATTACAGCTAGACTTTAAATCCAAAATGTATTATGATTTTGGCCCTTCCAAGTATTTTGAATTTTTCGATGTCTATTATATTTCGCAAAGGATTAAAGTTTTTATCAATAGCATCAATCCATTTTTCAGCATCAGATTGTTGAGTATTTTCTTCGATAATAGATTTGATACGCTCCATTAACAAGTAAAATTCCATTTTCTTCTGATTTATGGTCTCTTTATTGTCTGAAACTTTATATTCTTGAAAAGACGACTCTATATTATCAGAAGTTTCTTTGTTAGAATTAAATTACTAAAACTTTTCTATTTGAATCATTTGAATTACTTAAAAATTTTCCTATTGAAAGTATTTAAATTACCTGAAATTTCATTATTAAGAGCTTCATTTAGAAGATTTGAACAACTGGAAATTTCCTCGTCAAGAGTATTCGAGTTACTTAAAATTTCTTCATCAGGAATATGCGAACTACTTGAGGTTTCTCCGTCAGCATTTAAGTTGTTGAAAGTTTCTTTATCAAGAGAAGTATTTGAACTACTTGATTTTTTTTCGTCATAATTATCATTAACTAAAGTCTTTCCATCTAATATATATTCAGCCTGCGGTTTATTTAAAACTATTAAAAAAAGGTTCTCCGGTAAATCTTTAAACAAGTTGACGTACTGATCATTAAATTGCAAAAATGGATAATATCCCTGCCGATGAACCTAAAATACCAAAGTTATTTTTAATAGATGCATATTTATTTACATTATTGTAATAAATCATATAAATATTTTAATATATACGTACCTTTTTAAAAAATCCTGTTGGAACTGGATTTATTTGCTGAACTAAATGTTTGCAAATAAAAAAGCGACTAAATAAGAAACTATAGCAAGAACACACCCATTTTTGTACATTGGTAATTCGTTGAGGATTAGAATGAATTGGTTTTTTCTTAAGTTGCTTCCACTCTGCTTTAAGAGCAGTTCTCCAACGTGTTATAGCTCGACCATCTCGTAAACGCTATAATCGGTCAACTTGCCCAGGTAAAACCCGTGTTACAATAATATAGGTTAATAAATCTAAACGTGCACGGTTATATTCAGCAAGATAATCATGCTTAATCACTCTCCAGTGACTTTCAATTGTCATGGTTGATCGTAATATATTAATTTGCTTTGATACAGAACGTGCCCACAAATTTCACCATTCTGGGCGGTACCAATCATTCCACAAATAAATCCAAACATGTAGCAAGTTATTAATCCTACAGTATTCGTATTGTTCTTGAACACAATTATACCAAATTTCATTAAATGATTTAATATTAGGCCGATTTTCGGTTGGAATTAAAGGATGTAATGAAAAATGAATTTTAATTAGTTGGATAATATGTTCACGATAATCTTTTTGACAAAAAATTTTGTACTTGTCCCCATTTTTAGATACACCAATTGGCTGCTAAGTCAGATCTATAATCGAATGATGCATATGCGCTTCTCTTGCATTATATGTTTAATAAGTAATACCAGTGCTTGAAAGCTTCTTTTTTATTGCACGCAAAACGTGCCAATAACATAACTGAATACGTGCTTGGGGCCAAATTTTTTGAGCGGGGTTATCTGGGAAAAATCCTTGTCGGTTAAAAAAGTCTCAATATTATGAATGCCCATTTCTTTAATTATATGAAACCAATTTTGAAGAATCATTGTTCGTTTTTCATTTTGACCAGGTTTTAAAAACATGTAAGTTAACGGGAACCCAGCCCCATCAATTATTCCAAGTATTGCATATAATTCATACTTTAAACGATTTGTTTTATATGTGGCGTCAATTACAATTGTAGTAATATTGATTTTTGCCAAAAGATCAAATAAAGGCGTCGTAAATGCGATAATTGTAGGTTCTTTAATAATTACTTTAAATGTTGAATGTTGTAAAAGATATTGAATGGTTGATTCAGCTTGATCTTTGACAATTTTGTATTCATTGAGACCTAATCGCTTACACCAATAATAGACCTGATGTTGAGTAAGATAAAGGTATCCATTGAGACGAGTAGCCTTTATATTATGATACAATTGGGGAACTGTAAGGATCTTGTTATTTTGAATATAAGTTTTGATTTCAGAAGAAATAGTAATAGATTGGGGCTTTGGATGTAGTAAGTGATGAACACGAACATAAATCAACTCATGAGATCGCTTAATTGTAATAAGAATAGAACCTTCACATTCAAATCGTAAAAGTCGAAGTTCAGTATCTCGTTGTTTATCAATATTTTCAATGTGTGCCCTTTTGTTTTTTCTTTCAATTTTACAATTGCAATAAAAAACAAAAGATTCACTCTCTTTTAACTTGTCACGAGTATGGTAAATATATGTGTATCCATCTGCTTTGGAAATAAGCTCTATAACTTGATATGCCACAAGTTTATTACTTTCATTCTCATCAGTGGTCTCAATATCTTCAAGAAAAGTATTAAGAAAAATCGCAATCTCTACATTAAATATTTGCTCACAAGATTTTGAATCTTCAAAGTCTTTATAAGGTTCTAAAAAACCTGATAATACTTCCACAAGCTCTTCCGTTTATAGGCACAATCTTGACGTTGTTTGATTTGTTCAGCTTCACGATTTTTTGCTTTCATTTTATTGGCATTTTTAATTGAAATTCGACACTTGTTGCATGATTTAACGCTTTTTCCTCCCAATCCAACAAAATCTTCTTTCGAATACCACCCTTTACAATGATCACATTTTAGTAGATTTTCCTTGTTATGAATCATAATATAACGTTTAACAGCAAAATGAAAATGTGCAACAGAAAAATAAATCGTCTGATTCAATTGCAAGTTTATTTTAACTTTTAATAATGATAAAAAAGCTTAAGTAAGCAAAATAATTTTTTTTAAGAGCAACGATGAAAAAAATTTTTAAGGGCAAAGCCCCAATTTTATTTGTAAAACCAGATATGTTTCAAGCGCTACTTTATTTTTTAACTAAACAAATGTTTTATTATTCATGTATGTTCATGCGGAAAGGAAGAAAGAAAAACGCGTAAAAAATGAATGTGTAACACTTATATATAATCTACGGTTCACGTGAAAAAATGAATGTGTAACACTTATATATGATCTACGGTTCACGTGATAGCGAAATTTTTTTGACTGGTGATACTTGATCCTTAGGTTCCTCTTCCGAGAGATCCTTCATAAATTCTGATTATTTTTTAAAACTTTGAACAAAGCTTTCACGGCAATCACT